GGGTGATGGATCCCGAATGCCGTATTTCATTCGAATCTACCTCTAATATCCAAGGCTAATCCAGGGCTCCTTGAAAAGATACATGTGCTGAAAAATCAGCACAAAGATGACAAAGATTGCAATGGCACGGCGTATTGTCGCATGATGGGTGACTAGAAGTAAGCAGCCAGCTTGCAGATAGAACAGCCGCGGACATGTTTTTTCCTCACTCAGGTGTCTGCGATTCCTGCAGGTATTTGCATTTGATGGATGGGACAACGCACTGTACTGAGACGAAGCCCCGAGCAAAGCCATTGGCCCGAACCCCATGTAGCCGACTGCCCGGGAAGACCCAAACATCAAAGCTCTAACAAAGCGGGAGAGGTGGAGATCATAAAGAGACCTCGGTGCTGCGGTGCTGCTTGCATCGCATAGGGATCTCAGACAGATGTCCAGTGTCTCAGCGTGGAAGATGATGACACATCTACAACATATGTATTATTATCAGTATCTACTGATTGACCGCAATCCTTTCACAGACTCCCATGATGTCTCATGTCGGATTATACTCATTCTTGTTTAGTGACCAGGCTACATCCTTTCCTCGCCGAAGCAACAAATCGACTATTGCGAGCAGAAAAACAATCACAAAAGTTTACGAACATGTCACGTTGGACGTTGGACTGGCAAAAGGTAGTCGATGGGCCACCCTGCTAGAAAAGTACACAAAGCTACACAAGCAGCCTCATTCTAACTCATTCTATGGGCCTATAGGCTTTTTGGTGGAATTATTTTAGTGATTTATCCAACCATTGGCCTATTGAATAGTGAACTATTGAACCATTGAAGTATTAGGAGTCAGTGTGCGAAAACAAAAAGAAACACACCACACCACACCGCCACAACATTACCATCATTACAACGCCGATGCTGACAACAATAGCTGCTAGCAACTTTAACGATGAAATCTTTGCACCCGGGCGGACAAGAGTAAAACCCTCTTTGAGCCTTGGACCTTGAACTCAAAGCAGTTCAGATGCTGCATGAAATCAAACTTCAAGTCGGATTTTCTCAGGGCTGGGATTGTGACTAGGACTAGGACCAAAACAGTTAGATCTACCGTGTTGGGCCATGTTGGGGTGTACTCTGGACATGTCATCTTACTAATCTTACTAAGCAGCAACCCATGACCCTTGGAATCTCAGAATCTTCGGACCATTTGTCACATGTAATTACATAGGACTAATAGGAATGGGACACCTGAAGCCTATTCATCTTTCCATATCTGAGATCCACACTTCCAAGAAACTTGCACATCAGACCGGTCCTGCTGGACTCGAGGTGCTACTACAGAAACTCTGCTACTTGAGCATGTGCTTGCCCAGGGTCAGAAGGCAATTCTTGCTTGAATTCTTATCCGAAGTGCCTTTGGCCTTCGAATTTTTCTTCTTCGACTTGACTGCCCCTTCACGCTCCTTCTCAGCCAAAGCAGCAGCAAGCCCGACCTTGTGCGAGTTCTCGACCGGCGTGGCCGTGTTCTGGGCCTTTTGCAAGGCTTCTAACATAGCCTTCCCACGGGCAGTGGACGTCTCGCTTGTGGAGCCCAAGCGGCATAATGGAACACTCAAGGAAGCGAAAAACTCCTCCGCCTTCTGTCCAGCTTCCTCCACAACATCTTTGAGCTGTTGCATAGCTTCCGGAGAGTTGATGGAAGCACCGCTTTTCTTGAAGGCCTTGAGAAGTGTCTGTTCGGCAGCCTTCGTGGCCTTTCCAACCGTGTTGTCACGCCACTTTTGGATCCTGTCTGCAATGTCTGCCATGGGGACCACGCTGTCAATCCTGAGAGCACACAACAAAAGTACAACAGCATGTTGCAAGACGCAGGATTGACTTCTAGTTTGGAAGATTTGGAGTTTGGAGGGATAAGAACTGATGACGTGACTCATGTGGGCGTGTAGCGTGTGCACAGCTGCTTTAGGCAATTCTGCCACAACGTGGCAACAGCAACAGTTGTATCTGGCGACTTTGTATTTCGAACAGTGAAACATTGGACTCAAGTCCAGTTTCATACATCCCTATGGATATTGTTACATTGTTACATGGACTCACCTTCGACATTGAGCCTCTTGCTGATGGCGATGCGCATTTTTCGCCTTCGAGGAATCCGAGGAACTCCCATCAATCACTCATCACACGCTGAGAGACGAGAGAACAATCAACACGCCGCAAAAATCCTCCAGTGCCCTCATTGTCATGCTTACATTGCTTACATGACTTACATGCGAGATCAGCGAAAACATCACATCACACAGCATGGGCCGTAATGGCGAAAACCTTCAAGAATTCAAGGGCTCAAGGCAATCTATATATATATATGTGGGAACGGACCCACCACCACCCTCTTAGACCAACTCTGCCAGAAATGAGACACTTCACTTCACTGAAAAGACCAAACCGGAAAACTGCAGCTTGCTGCTCCAAACCCAGCCAAAACAGGGCAATACAGGGGGTGTAAGTAAGAGAGGCATGCTGTTTGAAAATGAGGTATAATGCAATGAAATAACTACCATGATGTCATGATGTACCTACGGACCTACACCGGTCAGATGGCCAAGTCATGCTGAGCATCCTCAACATGAACTCCAAACCACGCAGCTGTCCATCACTGCGCTTCTGATGCCACGGTGTCCGCTCGGCGTTGCCCTCCGCATCACCACTGGTCTCGAACTTTTCCATCGCCTTGCGCTGCTCTTTCTGGGTCCGATCGGCGAAGCAAGTCTCCGTTCCAAGAACCTTGCGAAATGTATCGCCCATGCTGCTAGCAAACTGCATCTGCAAGCCGCCCTCACCGCCCGACATGTACATGACCACTGGCACGTCTGCGTGCTGCACGGAAAAGTAGGCCATGTCATTGCGTGCAACAACTTTCGTGCACCATGCTGGCACGACGCAATCCAATGCGGACATGTCCTTAGGAGCGTTAACATAGAAATGAATGCCGAAAAGGCAGCACAAGGGATAGTGATCCTTCCCAGGCGTTCCATGCGGATACATTGACACAGTGCCTGCCATCATCATCTCGAACTTCTCCGAAAGAACGGCATCTTTGCTGATGATCACGGACTCGCCCCCTTTCTTGGCGAGGTCGATGAGCACTGATCTGGCCAAAGCGTTCTCGCGCAAGTGCTGGGAGTACATGGACCACACCATGAACTGCAACTTGTGCTGCACCATGCACAGGAAGGACACGTCCAGCTCGTCCGCTCCCAGGAGGAAAGCGTCCATGGAGTCATCCAGCAATGACGCAGAGCCCTCAGAGCTCTCACAACATCTGTGGATGGACTGAATGCTGACTAGCGAGGAAGGCATTTCGCTCTTGCTCGCAGCTGGCTCCTCAGCATTCTCTGCATCCTTCTCCTCAAGCTTCACGCCATCCTGAGCAGCTTCCGCATTCTCTTCATCATGTGCAAAGCACAATGATGGCAGATACGAGCGAAGCTTCGACCCCATCGTTTTTGTGCTCTCAAACACGAGACCTTTTAGCACGGGAACGCGACCAAAGATGAAATTGCGGAGGTCTGCTGGTTTGGTCATGAGCAAGTCTGCCCACGCCTTTGGCCAAGTTGACACAGTCTGTGCAAGATCGAAAAACACAAGCTCCTGATGCCGAATCTCTACATCCGGGCGATCTGCTTTCAACGCGTCAATGGTCTGCATCAAGTCCGACTTATCCACCATACCATCGCACTGGAGCACAAACTTCCCGATCTTCAAAGCATCCTTGCATGTGGCATGATCTTCAGTCTTGGGTCTAGGGTTGAGGGATAGCCGGGGCTGAGAGTTTTCAGGTTTCAGGTAGGCTCCCGACTGTGGAATCCTGGAAACAAGGTCAAATTCAGGGTTGCACGGGTTGCACTGCACTTTCAGGGCGCAAGCCCAAACTCATGCTGCGAGTCCTCCATAATGCTCAGCACATAATTCATGCGAAGCATGAGGAATTTCGAAAGCCTGTCTGCGTCCTTGAAGACCTGCCACAGGCCACAGGCAACATGGCCCACATGGTGAACATGAAGCGTTCCATATACTAGACTTACTAGACTTCCCAGCCCAGCACAAAACAAAGCAACCCACGAAAGCATGTAGCCGCGCTTGCCCTAGCATGTAGATTGTCACAGTGAATTGTCATGAGAACTGACGAGCAAGAGCACGTGCGACTCTCCGACTCCACCGACCGAGCTAGGCCGACCTACCACTACCAACTATACCTGGACAAAATTTGATAGGCCCAGGCCCAGGCTAAATGACGAATTTCAGGTTGACTCAAAAAACACGACTACCATAGAATAGGACCATGGTAACCATGCTAAGTACCGGATTACTTGTTGCGCGCAACTTCCCACTCACCTTCATCATATGAGCCAATAAGAAGCGCGAAATTATGAAATGCAATGGATGACATAATGACATACTGATGCTACACTGGCCTTCCTGGGTCAGAACGACTCAGAATGATTCCAAAGTGACACAACTTCGTGGAGTTCCATAGCTGGCTGCAAGGAGTAGCAAAACGAATTAAAACGAGCCGCCAGAAATCCTGGTAACGGTAATGACTGATTATTGGACAATGGGACCTTGGCCAAGGCAGCCTAATGTCGCCAGCCCAACCTAATCTAAATCATTCATTTGAGGCTTTAACCCATCTGTTCAATTATCTACTTTCGACTTTCTAGTGGACATTCATGACAAAACATCCCTCAACTGCACCCTCGCACATGTCTGCAACGGGATAGTAGTGGCAGCTGTCCTGCTCTGCGCCGCCGACGAAGCCACCGTGCTCAGCGTAGTAATCTGACACATCGGTTGCAAAGGAGATCCAGCGAGTGGCGATGGCTGCCTCCACATTTTTCTGAAGGACTGAGAGGAAGTCCACGAGCTCCAAAGTCTTGCCAACACATCCACGCAAGGTTTGAACGTGCACGTCGTGCATGGTCACCGGCAAGTCTATCACATCCTCGATGAAGCGCTGGATCTTGGCTGCCTGCTGGCTGCAATTCGACATGAAGTGGCTCACACGGCCGTGTGAGTCCTCTTCCCCCTCCAGCAGCATCTGGACAGGCACTTCAATGAGTTCCTGGGTCAACTCACGTGCAAAGGCCAATGGGTCCTGCTCACCGCCGCTGCCAGCAATGGCGAGCTTTTCCTTTGCTAAGCGGCACATGTGCTGAAGCTCAGGTCGAAGGGCACTGTAAGCGCGAATGCGCTTGCCATTCAAACTCACCTCTCCTGCAAGGAGGAACTCGCACCAAACAGACAGGCAAAGTGACTTTGTCTTCAGCATGGCCGACTGCGAAGTGCAACGATCCTTCTCGTCGAACTCCTGATCAAACACGTGGTTGATAGCACACAGCACATCGTCTGCGGCACACTTGATCCGCGACTCTTCACGCCCACCTGCGGCCTTGATCTCTGCCGAAAATGTAGAGGCCTCGACCTTGCAGTAGTAAGCTTTCTGATTCGGCGCCGCCTTGGCGTCCTTCTTGTCGCCCTTGGCCTTCTTGCTGTCTCCGGCATCTGTGGCATCCGAGGCATCCTTCTCAATTTTGCGCTTTCCAGCCGGTAGACTCGTAAAGCCATCCTCATCATCTGCATCTGCATCTGCTGCAGCAGGAAGAGTGGGATCCACACCCACGCCGCCCTCTCCATCAGCACTATGCTCCTTCAATGCGGTTTAGGGTTTAGGGTTTAGGGTTTAGGGGTTTAGGGTTTAGGGTTTAGGGGACTCCTTCAACACCAACATGGCCGTCGTCTGCGCATGCTCGGTGCTCTCGTGGATGATGCCAGCCAAGCCAGCTTTGGTCTCCAGAGTCGCCTGAGTGAAAAGATTTTGGGGTAATTCGTCCATTATGAGAAAGTGTCACGCGCTACTGTCTTAATTTCAGGTCTGCCTGGGCGATTCATAGACCTAGGGAAAACCCACTAAACAATCTGACTGAATTACAATTTTGTAGGTCTCGTACAGGATGACCATTGATGAGTGGCCTTAGGATGTGGCGGTTCAGAGTACGCAGTTATGACCGAACCATCGCTGGCACCTTTAACCCCATATGAAGGCTTTGGGGGAAGTTTAGGGCTTACCTGGTTTACCTGGGCCCTGGCAGAGCCCTGAATTGTAGAGATCAGATACGACCTACCACCCAAAAAGACGTAGCCTCACCCTAAGCCCTAAACCCTAAAGAACCAAGATCCGGGAGGGATCAGATGATCAGGGTCTTGCCTTTTAGGGTTTAGGCGGGTTTAGGAAAGCCCTGGCAGCACGAATAGCTGCCCCTGTAAACAAGGACGGACTCGCTTGGGTCCCTTAAGCAGATTCCAAGATTTTAATCAGGGTTGAGGGTTTAGGGTTTAGGGGTACTATTATAGGGAGTATACGGATTACATACGGATACAGGATCAAGGCCAACCCTCCTCCGGTAATCCAGCATGAAATCTGATGTGACAAGCCCAATGGGTCCAGGTAGCAATATTAGATGTACTTAGGGCCCAAAGGGAGTCCCATCTAGCTACTTTAGGGCCCAGGTGTGCTACATGGACCCGTTTGATCATTGCAGGCCATTTCAAGAGCGCCGCGTTTGTTTGTAAGTCCGGCCGGCGGATTACTTACCCTTCATGAATAACTTTGCAAAAGCGCACCTTGTGTGACCTAAGCTAAGCCTAAAACCCTGGAAGCTAGAACACCTTAAGAAGATAGCCCCAAACCACGAGGGTCCGAGTACTTACTGATCATATACTTACCCAAGCCCTGTAGTATAGCTACCATTACCCTAATTCCCAGGTATCTGATTATTGGGTAGTACTTGGACCCTCTGGGACAGAGGCGCCACAACGACCACCCTTCTGATCAAAGCAGGTGGTGGTGGTGGTGGTGGTGGTGGTGGTGGTGGTGGCAGGGCGAGAGTTCAGGGTTGGTTGGTTTAAGGTCACAGTTTCCCTTGAGGATCCGAGTACCCAATGGTTTCGGGTTTGGTGTTTAGATTTAAGAGTGTCCAAGTACCTGATAAGCGGGTACTAGGGATTTGGGGTACATGTAAGAGGCTTTGGGGAAGTATATGAACCCTAAGGGTCCAAGAACCTAATAATCATATACTTTATCCACAATCTGCACTAGACTTACTATTACCCTAAACCCAAGTACCTGAAAAGTATGTAAATATTGTTCTCTTGGACGCACAGGGTTCTTGCTCAGGGTTGCGGAGCTTCGGGGGTTTAAGGGTTTATAAGGCTGAAGGTCTTGGGCTGAAAGGTAGGAGTACAAGGTTAAGGATCCAGGGTTAGGGTTTCAGACAAAACGGTTCCAGACTGCACTGCTGAAGAATTGTGACATTGAAGCACATGTCCTGAAACCCTAAGCCCTAAATCTCTAAACCCTAAACCCTATAAGCCCCGAACCCAAATCCTGGAGCTGACCGTTGGGGATGTTTCATGTGGAGCACCTCCCCAACTAGGATAGGGGATTTTAAAGGGTTTGGGGTTTAGGGTTGACCCTAAGGGTCCAAGGACTCGGAGGACCCAAATAATAGAGCTTCAGGCCGCCCCCAATACTGTAATATTAATGGTATTTGGGCCCATTA